ATTAACATTTTTCCATTTTACTCACTAAAGTAAGTAGCAGGCTATGGAAAAACACGGATTACCAGTAAATGTCAAATAGAGATGCTTGTTGTCAGTGTCAGTTATTTTCGTCATTTTATTATATCAAAAATATGCAACGTGCACGTGAAACAAGAAATCTTACTCGCGAAGAATGTGCTCAAGCATTAATATTGTCTGAGGAAGGTTGGAGCTACCGAAGAATTGGTTAACGATTTAATGTAACTCACTCAACCATTTCACGAATTATACAACGGTATAGAGATACTGGGAGTAATTGTCCCAGGCCGGGACAAGGTAGGAATCGAAGAACCAATCCGATTCAGGAACGTTTTTTAAAACTCTCAACATTAAGACAACGTTTCGTAACAGCTCGGACCCTTCAAACTCAGCTCAGAGATACTAATGGTCTACAAGTTTGCACAGAAACATCTCTATTTGACATTTACTGATATAATCCGTGTTTTTCCATAGCCTGCTACTTACTTTAGTGAGTAAAATGGAAAAATGTTAATTAAAACCAATTAGAGATGAGCAAAACTGCGATTTTCCAATCGCAGTTGAAACTGCGATTGTGATTTATAAATCGCTGCGACTGTAACCTGCGATTGCGATTTTGATATTTTTAAATTGGTACGCTGTAATCTGGGAAGCTCAATCCCAAAATTTCTAATAAAAAACAGAATAAATAGCGGAATATTTTTTTTTAATAAAAACTTACAAAGAAACTGTTGGGTGTTTCGATGCCATGTGCCTTTTAAAATTTGTAGTGCGTGTTTTTTATGATATTTTTGCTGCACACATATTGCACTTAAAATTTTCATCAATTACCTACCAAAAAAAAATCCACAAATAACTTAGTTTCCTTTTTTTAAACATTTTTGATTAGAACAGACCGAATAAATTTAAAAGGGAAATTAAAAATACATAAAATGTTCAAAATATTCGAATGTGCTTTTAGACAGTAGGTACACTAACGAAAAAGTTATTATAAAAAAGGTTGCCGCCAACCTTAATTCAGATAACTAGAAAAAAAAACTGTTTATTTTATCTTGTTTTCTTTTAAAAACATTTTCTTTATATGTAACTCAAAAGAAGCCGACGCGACGCCGACGGCTTTGATACGGCCCGTCCAGTGCAAGTGCAAACTTTCGAACTTTTAGATAAATAAAAGGACAACATCACATTTTATTATATTTAAAATTTCTCTAAAATGAAAAAACTGATTGTAAAGGATGTATTTAAATTAACATAGCAGCCGATCCACAACTGTTAGTATATTCAGAAAATTATATTATATTATGGATTGTTATAAAAATGTTTATAATAATATAATATATAACAAAATATAATAAATAAAAAGGGCTGTTTCTTTTCCGTGCTCTATATCTTCTAGTAAATAAAGGATAAAAATAGATAATTTTTTATAATTTGAATCCAAAACTGTCCTTATGAATCATTTTACCTGAATCATTACCTGGGAGCAACTGTAACTATAATTAGTCATAACCATAAACTTAAAATAAAATATAGACTGAGCATCTCATTCATAAATAGCTGGAACATGCGGTCAGACAACGTCTTGTTATTGTTGTGTTATTGTTTTAGGTTATAACGAGTGCGACACGAGCGATAGATAGGTTGTCTCTGTCATAACGGTCGTTCCCTGACGACTCTGCCGAGAAACACAACACTGTCTTTCGTTTCTCAAGTACACCTGAACTCTCCGTATCATAGCCGGGTAACTTTTTTATTTTAATGAAGCTATAATTAAATTAAAAATATATCGTATTTAATCTTTTTTATATTTTATTAAGATTTAGGACAGGTTTTTGGAATAAAAGTTTAGAAAAAAACGTCTTAGAGTCCAAAAAGGATAAAAATAAAAAAATACACGTTATAGAAGAAATTTTATTAACGAAATTACGTAATTTTTGAAATTAATAATAAATTATTAATTTTAATCAAACATTTACAACCCCTACTATTAATCAAAACAGGATCTATTTCACAGATATAATAGAATCGGCGACAGGGAGAGAAAAAAAATATGATTTTTGTATTTTTTTTTCTGGTTAAGTGACGTCTTATTATGTAAATTAGAGAAAACATAAATCTGTTCCATTAAAGCAAGGAAGGTGATAGGAAGTGGATAATATGAAAACTACATTTATCTAACACGGTACTGACTTTATTATACCGGGTGCGTTCCAAAAGTGGCTCATCCTCAAATTTTTTTTATATTTTCAAATAGTTATGTTATGTTAGTATATGACATAAATTAGGATTGATTGACGCATTCAATTGTTTTTGGTCACTTCCTGTTTCACCGGAAACGAATATAACTTTTAATTTTTAAACGGCACCCTCGGTATATTTCTACTTTATTCGATAGAAAATGATAACAATTTAATTTTTAATAATAATATTGATTTCTGAATAGAATGACATAGCATAATATGTCAACTTTTGACATTTACGCATATGGTTTAATTGTAATTGTAACACGCGGTTCATAACGACAATTTGACTCGAAATACCAAGTGTGTGGTATCAATATATTCATAAAAAAATGATTTTTCCAAATATGCTAATGAGTCTCCTTTGTTTCATTTGAAAAAATTGACATATGTATGATTAAAACTACGATTTGTACATCTTTTAACCGGCCTAAACAAGACACGAAACCCATTAGACGATCAAAACAGGCTCCTTGATTAAAACTTAGTGTTTTTAACAACACCATGGCACCCTAGATTGAAATTTAAAATACGATTTGTTTTTAAGCGACAATGTCAAAAGTTGACATATGATAGTCATTCTATTCAGAGTGTCATTTTTTATCGAATAAAGTAGCAATATACCGAGGGTGCCTTTAAAAATCAAAAGATGTAATCATTTCGGTGAAACAGGAAGAGACCAAAAACAATTGAATACGTCAATAAATCCTAATTTATGTCATATACCTACTAACATACAATTTTTTTTGTATCTGAAAAAAAATAAAAAAGTTATAGGGGGTGAGCCACTTTTGAGACGACCCGATATATTAAAAATATTGTTTCATAATGTAATATCATTTTAAAATTCTTGTATGTTATTTTAGATTCTGAAGATAATTTTAGAATAAACCGGAATATATTTTAATAAAAACATTATTAATTATTAACAGGGTTATAATTATGGTTTTGTTACAATGTAAGTAAGTCAATATTGTAATGTAAGAGAAAAAAATTCAGATTTTACATTTTACTAAAATATTATCTAAATAAGCGCCTTTCTACAACAACGCCACTGACACCTAATGGGTAAATTGAGAGTTGCCTACCGGTCGAAAGTCGTTTCAAGACTTAATTGGATTATTTAAGTCAAATTTCTTGCAAATTTGGCACTGGCGAACCATATTTTATAGTTTTTGAACAGAAAAAGTCAATAAAATAAACACTTAAGGACTACAAGCTAAGAAAATGCGTTAATACAGCCGGGGAGATAGCGGCAACAAAGGTTTACCACACACGTGCGACACGTACTACAAGGTAATAAATGAATGAATAGGCTCCCTCGCCTCTAATCGGTGTTGTCATATTGTAAAGGACTTATCCTTATTAAACAGTATCCGACTTATAATTTAGTAGTATAAGGACTATTTAATACATCTATGGAATATTAAAACCTACTTGATTAAACTGTGGTATTAATATCTCAATATATGTGTATAACAAGAAAAAAAATATTGATAATATTAAAGACGTGACAACATAGGCTGGATGAGGAAGGCTCGGTCGACTGTACCCAGAAGTAAACATGTGTGCAAAAAAGGTTGTTTGTCCGCGTTGAGATCTAAATAGTGTAGTCTATATTTTATTTTAAGTCTATGGTCATAACCGAAAACAAGAATTTTTTAACCTTCTCAATCCATAATTATATTATAAATCTAAAATTATTATCAAAATTTAAAACTAATAAATTATATATATTATGCGGTATATAAACATATATAAGCCTATTTTCCAACGCTTCATAAAAATTACGGGGCCCTGATTGCGAATGTGATTTTGCGATCTAGTCTAGGCCGATGTGTTGGGAGCGAACGAAAATCGCAATCGCCGCTCTTCGTTGGTGTGCCCACTCCCGATGCCGCTCCGGTGCCAACGAAAATCGCAATCGCAATGCTGGGATGAGCTGCGATTTTCGTTCAGCTCCTCGTTCGCCTGTCCACTGCCATGTTGAAGACGCGCCGCCGCCGGCCGGGGCGTACGAGAATCGCAATATTGCGATTTTCGTTCGCAGCTCATCGTTCGGCTTCTCACTTAGGCTTCTCAGTGCCGTGTCGATGCAACGCCGGTGCAAACGAAAATCGCAATCACATCGCAATGCTGTGATTTTCGTTCGCAGCTCTTCGTTCGCGTGCCCACTGCGATTGCAAATCGCAACTGGTGTAATATTGGTTGCCTAAAAATCCAAAATCGGCAGATATATGTTTCAATCGCAAGTCGCAGTTTGCTATGGAAAGGAATCACAGGTTGCGATTGCGAATTTACAATCGCTGCGATTAAATCGCAGTTTGCGATTTTCTGCTCATCTCTAAAACCAATATTAAATCATGTCATCCTATAAAATGTTGTTTCTCGTGTAATAAGGAAGATAATGGAGTAAATAAAAAACCAACTGTAAAAAAAGTTAAGGCTAAAATGTGATTTCAATTTTAATTTGATACTATAACCCTTGTTTATATATTACTATAACTGATCAACTCTACAGGGTGTCACAAATTTTATTAAAAAAACACGTTATAATTGCTACACCCGGTATTAGTATAAAAAGGGTTCCTATCAAAATACAGTTAATATAGCAACATTGTGGAAAGAATAACCTATCATTCAAAAAAAAATCGTCCAAATCGGATAAGTGATTTTGACAAAAACTTAACTTAAATTTTTGGTTATTTTTTTGTGGTGCGTTAATTTATTGGGGAAGTGTATATTAAATTTTTCTTAACAAAATCACTTAAGCTACTTCGTAGGTTTCAAACTCCATATCACAACTCCTTTTTTTAGGAATAAGTTTCTGCTGGTACTCATAATGACTGATTTCATGCCCGTTGATTCTCGGTACTTCATTGCTAAACCTTCTTATCGATTTATCAATATTTTGTTTTCTTTCTTCACCAATAATTCTAGGTTGATTTGCTAAATTTTCACTTTTTAATTTGATTTGTTCATTAATAATGTCTTTTTCTTGATGCTTTCCCACTACTTGTTCTTTAATTGTGTTATTATTTTTTTCTATGTTTATTTTGTTATTATACTGTTTATTATTTGATCGTTTTCCAGTAAGTTCCAATCTGCTGCTACAACTATTCGATTTGATCAATTTGAATTTGATTTCTGGAACATTTTCATTTTCGTCATTTTTACCACAGTTTGTGCATCGTTTTTCGATGTTTTTGATCTCGTTCATGATCACTTTGGTCAAGATCGGTTGACCGTTCTGTTTATCCACTATTCTGCCTCCGTAGTACGTTACAGTCGTACCATACTGTCTAATTTTCTGCAATATATCCTCACTAACATACTCATTACAACAATCAGTAGCAGAATCATTAGAATCATACTCATCTCTGTCATCGAAATCTGAAGGACTGTTCGATCCTCCAGAATCAGTAATACTGCATCTATCTTTGTCTGGATCTATTGTAGAGGTACTGGTGCTCTTAGAAAAAGGATATCCATTTGTTTTTAAGGTACCCTGTTCGAAAAATTGTCTAGCCTGACGTACAACCTCGGGATTAGGCAGTTCATCCTCATGTACTTCTTTATTTATCTTCACAGGATGATAAAAGAAGTGTTTCTTTAGTTTCTGCTTGTTTGAGGTTTCTTCAGTGGTACTACTGTGTCTTTGGGTGTTTTTAAAGTTCGGTTTTTTGTGGTTGGTACTGATGTGAGGTACTTTGGACCGGATGGGTTCAATTATAACGATATTGTTGTCGATTAAGAGCTCTTGGATGCTGTAATCAGCCAAGTACTGGATGAGACCGTCGAATTGAGACTCATTTTCACAATTTGTGATGATTTTTTTCTTGAAAAACTCAGGTTTGATCACTTTGTATCTAACGTAATCAAAATCATGACTACTTACACTGTTAGACTTGGTCAAAGACTTTTTAGTCTGGTTTTTTTGGATAGAAGGACTTTTTTGATCTTCCAACTCATTTTGAGGGATTATCTCCACAGAAGTAGGGGCTAAACTCTCAAATTCATTATTTTCTTTGTTTACAGGAACTTTTTCGAAAAAAATACAAGTGTCTTTTATTCCAGGCGATATTTTTCCATTTTTTTCGTTAGAGTTTTTTGTTTCGAACATTTTTCTAGTCAAGTCAACCTTGCTAGGGGATTTTTCTAGTTCACTAACTGGTTCAAACTTTTTTTTGACATCGTTTACAATACTTTTCGGTTCAGATTCTTTATTTTCTTCTTCAGGTTTGTTCTGGATAATTTTTGTCCAATAATTTCTGACACTATCGACTTTTTCTATAATTTCTGGATCCATATCCTTGTTTTCTGTGACGTTATTATTACTGAAGCCTCGTGATTTTAAGAAATTGTTAATATTTTTTACCACATCCTTCAATTCTTTGTCTTGTTCCTTATTTTGGTCAACCCCTTTCTTGTTTTTACGGGAAACTTTTGCTATTTTCACCTCAAAATCAACTGGTATCGAAGATTTAGCAGTGATATCAAAATGCCTACCGATATTCACAATGAAACGGTTTTCACTTGGTGTTTTTTCGTATTTTTTTGACTTTTTATCAATAATTTCAGACTTTTCTGGAATTTTAGACGCTGTAATGTCAGGGAGAGAATGAAACTTATTAGATATTAAAGTAGATTTTGCGTTTCTTGTCAAATTTGTTAGTTTTTTAGTGATAAAACTTTGTAAAGGTTTCTTAGAGCCTTTTTGTGTTTCTAAAATGTCTCTAATATAGTTATGAGTGTGGTTTTTCTTGTCCACATTCAATGCGGGTTTATTGCAAGCTTCTTTTTTGTTATTATCATTAGGTTTCTTAGTTTCTTTAGTGATTTTTTCGTTGTTTAGTTTGATTTCGTCACAGTTAGTGTTAGTTTCGAACTCAAAACTAGATGGAGCTTTATCAAATTCAGAGCCCCAAGAATATTCTGGATTATAATAAAAACTAGACCCTCTGATAGTTTTTGGCTTGATTTGATCCGGTTTTTTACTCAAGGTGATGTTTTCGTCGTATGAGAAGCTCTCCGGTTGATGGCTTGTGATGTTCCAAGGTATGTTATCCAATGATAAGTACTGTCCTTCGCTTTTTACAGCTGCTGAGATTTTCCTGGTCACTCTGTCTTCGAGTTCTGAAGATGGTGAGCGATTTAAAGGTGACACTGGTGTTAAATCTTCAGGAGGTGTTCTATAAATCCACAAAATTAGTGATTTTTTTTGAGCTTAGTGAGAAAGAAACTATATTTACCTGTAACTGGTATAGTCAGGGCTGTAACTAGGGCTGTTTAAATTCGTTTTTTCTTCTGGTGTTCTTGGAAGGTGATCGGAACTTTCGTAAGTAGGTTCCTTTGGTCTTTTGGATTCTCTCGGTCTTTTTGAGTGCCTTTTTGCTGGCTTGGGATGGTTTTCTTTGTAAGATCCTCGCTTGCTGAAAAAAAATCGTGTGTATTGTATTATTTAGTGTGCCAAAAAACTTTTAGTTATTCCGAGTTATTAATTTCTAGGGTAAATGAAATTTAATAAAGAAATTTATTCAGATTTCTATGTACAGGGTGAGTCAAGTTGGACGCTTTTAAAGGGAAACACCCTTTTCTATAGGAGATAGACGAAAATTAATATCGGTGTCTGGAGCTCAATTTTTATCAAAAACATAATAGTGAAAACCGTACATCGATATATGTTACTGTTTTGGAGTTACGGGGTGTTTTTCAAAAATGTGCATTTTTAACAAATCGCTGTAACTTTCTTGCTATGGAAAATTTTGTATTTTTATGAAAACATTTCCAAATCACCTTTTTAATGGTTTAAGTATAATTTTTTAAATAATAATTTAAGAGTTATCAACAGAATAGACACCCTGTCTATTTTTAATTAACTGAAAGGAACTTAAAATTACCTACAACAACCCTCTTCGTTTCAGAGCTACAGGGTCTTTTTGAAAATTTTGCAATTTGGGACATCCCCTTAATAGGGCTTGTTTCTCTCTACAAACTCCTGTTTCACAATGTACCGTTTGTGTCCGGGAATGGTTCATTATTTCATAGTTCTCGATTTTCGAAAGAAATCAGTACATGTATATTATTTCGTATATTTTTTATTTTATTGATTTTATGGAAAGAACTGTTCATCAAAATGTTGTATCCTATGTTATAGGGATTGTTTCTCTCTACAATTTCCTGTCTCACAATGTACCGTTTATGTCGGGGAAGGGATCATAGTTTCATAGTTGTTGATTTTCGAAAGAAATCAGTACATGTATTATTTCGTATATTTTTCATTTTATTGATTTTATGGAAAGAACTGTTCATTAAAATGTTGTATCCTATATTATAGGGACCCCTTATCTGTGTTTTTGTGAAAGGTATCGAGAAGGTGAAAAATGCTTATTGTAGAACTTTTTACGTAGAATACAGTGGCGAAGTCTGTTATTCTAGCAGTAAATATAGAGTGATATATATTTTTGAGAAGCTGTCAGAAAGACAGATCATATGATTTATAAATATATAGAGTGTTTCATGTGAAAAACATAACTTTAGTTCATATTTTAAAAATATTTTTTTCGTAGAAAAACAGACTACGCCACTGTATTCTACGTAAAAAGTTATACAAGAATCTGTTTTCACCTTCTCCATATCATCCACAATAACGGAGATACGGGGGCTGTCCCAAATAGCAAAATTTTCGAAAAGACCCTGTAGCTCAGAAACGAAGAAGGCTATGAAAATTTTGTTTACAGCAAGGTTTGTGCAAACCGCACCCTTCTATCTTCACTAATAACGGTGATACTGTATGATTTCAACCAAAATGGGACACCCTGTATATTTTTTGTTCTAAATTTACCTGGGATCTTTAATGAACGATTTCTCCACCAATCTAGCCCTCGGGATAAGCTGGGGTTTGGGGCTGCTGTCAATAATGATCTCCTCCGAATAACCGCAGGATAGGTTTTGTCGGGAGCAGATTGCCAGGCTGCGGGTCCTCCTCAGCGGTCCCTCCTCCTCCTCAATCCGGAAATCGCGTCCCTGGTCCCAGGGGAGACTGGCAACGTTATCCAAGCTGCCCCGGCAGTATTTGCCAGTGAAATCGGGTTTCAGTCTGGAAAAAAGTAGAGTTTTGATAATTAGGTCATTTTTGGGGGTGCATGTAATTCATAGATAAAGGAAATAAATTTAGATTGGAAAGCCCGTCAAAATATATAATTGTTTTGGGTCGTGACCGTTGTACGCGATCTGGCGCTGCTATAGCGGTTGCTAAGAACAACGCCAAACCTTAACAGAAATAATTTTCTCTTGTCAAAGTCAGAATCTTGAAAAATTATAAAATTTTTCAAAATTTAAACCCCCTTCATTGAAAAAGTACCGAAAAGTGTTTAAAGCGTCCATTCTCAAAGTAATTATTGCTATCTTGTGAGTTTAATTTAAATTTTACTTCCTCAGACCCGTGATAATTGTGAAAAAGTGACATTAAAAACTAAAAAACTGTGTTGTGAACTTCAAAAACCATCGTGGATCGTGGCATAACGTCGGTTTCCAACGTTTCATAGGTATTTCACATACGTTTCATTATATAAAATAAAGTTTCTTGTATGCAACAAACTGTATTTTATTTATAAAATTTAAAGAAAATAATAATAAATTTGAATAAACAATATTTGGCGATATAATTCCGGAAAAAGCCGAACCGCTCCGAATTATCAAAAGCTTTGGGTCGCGACCGTTGCAAGAATAGCGCCAAATAGTGTTTACATTGTCCTTATGGGCACTTTCCAATCTAAACTTGTTTCATTTATCTATGGTGTAATTACAGTTGAGGGTTGGAACCGTTGGTGTCACACAGCAAAATAAAAACACTAAATCACCACAATACACCAAAGTGGGCACCGAGTGGGCGTGGCTAGATCTAGCCAACCGAGTCAGAGCCCACCGAGCGTAACAGACAATTAGATGCATATGAAAGCATCAGAATTAATAAATGTAAAGATAATCTGAACAGAGACAACGGTCCAATTCCTTCATGTTCTTTGTTCCTACTACTCGACGCGGAAATTTAACTATTACGCTCGGTGGGCTCTGACTCGGTTGGCTAGATCTTGCCACGCCCACTCGGTGCCCACTGAGCGAGTATATATATATATATATATATATAAATGCTCAACTTGTAGATTGTATTTTAGTTTATAATCATATGCTGATGATGCTAACATGGTTAGCGAAACGCGCGTCCAGTGTAAAAGTAAAAGTGTTTTGGTGTATTGTGGTGATTTAGTGCTTTTATTTTGCTATGGTGTAATTCTTATTTTGTTGAAAATGGGTCGGTGTCTTCTTTTTTAATCAGGATATAATAAGATTATAAGAAAAAATAAATGTGCGGTCTAAGTTTCAAACGAATTTTTATTTATTAGAATTTTAATTATTCGGTAAAAGTTTCGACGTCTTTGATGACATGCACGCCAACTTTTATTGAATTCTCTACAGGGTGGTCCGAAATGTATTCCGAAAACTTCGGCAACATATTCTGCAGATAAAAATAAGTAAAAAAGTTCGTATAAATGTATGTTCTAAAATGCTTAGTTTTGGAGATTGCAATTTGTAAGTAACGCCAATGCTTGAATAAAATTTGGTGTCTGGGTGTTTTTCACACGAGAAATTTGATTTTGATGTCGAAATGACTCCTACTTGTAGGGGGCACCACCTACATATTTTCTAACTGGTTTGCAAAGTAATAACTGTCTGTACCTGTATAAAACTACTGAGTATAAAAATATATAATTACAACATTTTTTACCTAGAAAAGGTATCTACAAAATCGCTACGAGTAAGTTCTCGAGATTTTTGGAATCTAAATTATCAACACCTATCATCATTGACATCAATTATTAAACATGTTGACGAACTATTTTTTGTCAATAATAACATGTATTGAGTGTTTCCATTCTAAACATCTTTAGGACGGTCGTTCGTAGTGATTTTTACCAAGAGATATTTTTCTTCTTAAAAAATCACGGAAATGGATATTTTTTTACTCAGTAGTTTTATACGGGTACTCTTCAAAACAGTTAAAACGCATGTAGGTGGCACCTCCTATAAATAGGAGTCATATTGGTATCAAAATCAAATTTATAATGCCAAAAAACTCCCAGACACCAATTTTCATCCACATATTAACGTTACTTTAGAAATTATTTGGAAAAAATCGAAATAAAAATGAAACTTCTTCACCCTGTATCTCTGAAATTAAGCATTTTAGGGTAGGTACATTTATACGAACTTTTTTACTTATTTTTATCTGCAGAATATGCTGCCGAAGTTTCCGGAATACAGTTCGGACCAGTCTGTATATTATGAATAATTCATTTATTGTTAATTAAAAAATAAACCTTCTAATACGTACTAGAAAACAGGCAAACCTTTCTTCACATTTTCCCAAAAAAAAATTATGAAAACGTTAGCAACTTAATTTCGCTATAAAATCTGAAGTAGTAAAGTTTTTCTACTTCAGAGTCTAGATAAGAAAATAAGATTAAAAATGTTGGAAAGATTAAAGTTCAGCATTTTTCATAAAAGTTTCTTTTATGGAAAATCGTTCCCAAGATTCTAATCAAGGTTCTTAAATTCTTCTGTTTTAATTTTTTAGGCATTTCTAACATTCTACAAAAAAATGATACATTATTTATTCATTATTATTTTCTTTATTATTTAGTTATAAAATATAAATGTTATTAAATTTTTCAACGTCTATTTTTGTATGAAATTATAATAGTATTTTTAATTTTGTAAACTTTAAAAAAATAGTACCGAAATAACGCAGGTATTGTTTCCTGCGTTTCAAAAGTGGCTCACCCCTATAACTTTTTTATTTTTTTCAGATAAAAAAACGAGATTTGGTATGTTAGTATAGGTATGACATAAATTAGGATTGACTGACGTATTCAATTGTTTTTTGTGACTTCCTGTTTCACCGGAGATGACTACAACTTTTGATTTTTAAATGGCACCCTCGGTATTTTTTACTTTATTCGATAGACAATGACATTCTGAATAGAGTGACATATCATCTGTCAACTTTTGTCATTCTCGCTTAATAAAAAATCGTATTTCAAATTTCAATCTAGAGTACTATGGCTATTTTAAAAACACTAAATTTTAATAAAGGAGCCTTGGAAAAATAGATTTAATCGTCTAATGTTTTTAGTGTCTTGTCCTGGCAGGTTAAGAGATACCCAAATCGTATTTTTAATTATATCTCATTTTTTTTAAATGGAACGGTTGTGGCTCATTAGCATATTTGGAAAAAGCATTTTTTTACGAATAATTTGGTATCACACACTTGGTATTTCGAGTCAAATTGTCGTTATGAAGCGCATGTTACAATTTCAATTAAACCACATGCGAAAATGTCAAAAGTTGACATATATGTGTCATTCTATTTAGAGTGCCATTTTCTATCGAATAAAGTAAAAAAATACCGAAGGTGCCATTTTAAAATCAAAAATTGTAGTTATTTCCGGTGAAACAGGAAGTGGTCGAAAACAATTGAATACGTCAATCAATGGTTAATTTATGTCATATATCAACATATTAAATCTCGGTTTTTTTTATCTGAAAAAATAAAAAAGTTATAGGGGGTGAGCCACTTTTGAGACGCACCTGGTATACGGGTTATAATATGAGAATCATCAACTAAATACACAGCAATTAGTTACTTTGAATTGTTTATTAAACAATTTCATTGCAATAAATTTATGACACAATGTGTAATTGTTTTTCTGGTTAAGATGTATGTTATCTAAAACAAAGTCAGTGTAAATAATGTATTTTTTATAATTTTTTTTAAAATTTATAATATGTAAACTACCGCTCTCATAAATAGATTTTAGCAACACTACGAAAGTAAATTGTACTCTATAGCTTTTTAGGAAATTAGAAATTTTCATGAAAATTATCCTTAAAATTTGTATATTTAATGAAACCAATGAAAGTGAACCAATAGTGTATCTATATTAAGGTGCGTACTCACTAGAGCATTTTAGTCCGAACGAACCAAGTGAGCCGAGCCCACACAAACGAACTAAGGAAAAGATCGCGATGTTCAGAGTGCTTGTTGCATTCGCTGTGTTCCCACGTTCAGATGTATTTAATTTTTATTTGCGCTTTGAATCCATAGGTCACCGTTCTGCATCGAGTGTGTTAATGAACCCGGAAGATGCTATTATCGCTGCTGGTGCTTTTTTCGTTATACAAAACATTACCAATAGGGAAAAGGAGAAAACATCAAGAAAATTATGGGCAAGAAATTTGTTTTTACGCCGTCAAAATGGAAGGCTACTGAGAGATAAGCCTGTTTTTTTTTAAATAAAAATTTGACATTTTTCACGTGATTGCTTCTTTACAACTAGGTTTGAAATCATGTGACATTTGCCAAATCATTCTATTACGAAAACAAGCTTTATTGTTATATTCCTTATAATTTCTGTAAATGTACATTTTCCCGTTCCGATAGATTATTTTTCTTTGCTTCTCCAGAAGCACATCCCATGATCTCATCTATCTGCCTCCACGCATCAAACTTCTTAACTTTATTATAGTATAATCCATCCTTTGGAATCTCTCCAAAGCACTGGATATTGTTCATAAATGTCTATTAACTGAAGGCACTTTCCTCTATTCCACTCCATTTCGTTTGAGCCAAGAAATGTTGTTGAACACCATGAACGCAACGAACCTCCGTATCCACTGAACAACGCATCCCATTTGAGCAAAATGCATGTACCGACAAGCCGGCGAAAATGTTTGGCGCGCTCGGTTCGGTGAAATTTTGCTCGCGAATACGTATTTACTTGCCGAATTCGGCTCTGCGCGCTCCGCTCATTTGGTTCGTTCGGAGCAAACTGTTCTAGTGAGTACGCACCTTTACGGTTAAAATCCGATGTCCGGTTAATGTCGACATTAACATGTTAATGTTTGGGTTAGGTTATGTTTTTGGTTGTTTTGTTGTGTGTTATTCTCGAGATTAACCGGGGTAATGTCGACATTAACAGGACATCGGACCTTAACCGTAACCAACCAAACCATTCGGCGCCTGCTGACTAACTGAAATTTAAATTTCGCGCTGTGGATTCAGGTGGTAGCTCTGCTGTAAAAAAATGTCAAGTTGCCGCATTTATTTATTTATTTCCTGACATTATCATTCGTTTTGACACTTTAGTTTTGTATAATACGAGTTTTTGGTTTAAATAAATAGTGTTGTGATACTTTAAGCTTGAGAATGTTTACTAGCAGACCTTGCAGTTAAACATCGTTCTTTTTAGAACCTTATAGTGCGAAGTGGTACAAGATAGCTTAATAGCCGTAAGAAACTCATCGCAACTTTATTAGAATATTTTGAACGGGAAAGCGGTAGTAATGGCCCTATATTTATATTTATAATTAATTTTTTTTTTCCTAAAATATTTTGATTAAAAGAAAATATATAAAAATGGGCAACGCTGTGCCGATCAAGCTTAATCACGTGACTAAAAGTTTATTTAGTAGGAACTGTATTTTTTTTAGATTTTATTTGTAACATGGTAAAGTTCTGTAGTTTTATCACTAACTAGTGATAAAATTAAGTTCCTATGATAGAAGAAAAAGTTGAATATTTTCTGTTACCTGTTGTTGTTGTTGATATAGACGTTTTCAGAGTTGACAGTTGTTGGGAGGTGATTGGTTGATGGATACGAAGTTCTAGACGATCTTAAATAGTGATGTTTACGATCACTATCTGAACTGAGTTTTATATTGTTGATGCAGTGGTCAAACCTGAAAAAGATTAAAAAGTTTATTAGAAAAAGCTTAAATTTTCCCATATTGTTTAATACAATATTTTTTGTATACCTAAAAGAGAAGGAACATTTGGATTTTCAGTTTTTAAAAATTTAAATTTAATTTTTAATTAAAACTTGTTTTTAATTACAAAAGTAATTCCTTCAAATAATTAATTTCATAGAAAAACAAACAAAAATAAAGAAAAAATATTTCAGTACGAAAAAAAGAAAATAAGTTCGCAGTTTTCAGTGTTTTCACTGGGCTTTTCGCTAATTTTTCATTTTCTTTACGATCACCATAATGGTTTCGTGCAGCACGTCAAGGGAAAGTGGACCTGAAAATGTTAAATTAGATTACAAGTAGTGGCTGTTTTTTTCTGCCTATTCAGGAACATATAAAACAGGCTTTTATGTGTATTTTATTTTTTCAAGCTTCGTGCTTTTTATTTTTTCATTGTTATTTCTTATTTTAAAAGCTTAGGACCTCTCTTGTTTTTTACACACACATTACGAAAATAAGAGAACCATCTCTCCAACACATGTTTTCTTATACGAATATTCTTTATTATACCAGGTGCGTCTCAAAAGTAGCTAACCCTTACTACTACCTCTAACTTTTTTATTTTTTAAGATAAAAAAAAAGATATTTGGTATGTTAGTATATGACATAAATTAGGATTGATTGACATTCAATAGTTTTTGGTAACTTCATGTTTCACTTAAGCGACTAAAACTTTTGATTCTTAAATGATACCCTCGGTATTTTTTTATTTTATTCGATAGAAACTGACATAATATCATATGTCAACTTTTGATATTTTCGCATATGGTTTATTTGACTCGAAATACCAAGTGTGTGGTACCAAATTATTTGTAAAAAATGCATATTTCCAAATATGCTCATGAGCCACCCTCGTTCCATTTGAAGATATCTAGATATGATTAAAAATATGATTTGGGCAACTTTTAACCGGCCAGGACAAGACACGAAAAACATTAGACGATCAAACCTATTTTTCCAAAGCTCCTTGATTAAAAATTAGTGTTTTTAACACAGCCATGGCACTCTAGATTGAAACTTAAAATACGATTTTTTTAGCGAAAATCAGAGAATCATTTTCTATCAATAAAGTAAAAAACACCGAGGGTGTCATTTAGGAATCAAAAGTTGTAGATATTTCCGGTGAAACAGCAAGTGAGCAAAAACAATTGAATAAGTCAATTAATCCAATTTATGTCACATACTAACATACCAAATCTCGTTTATTTATCTGAAAAAATAAAAAAAGTTATATGGGTGAGCCACTTCGGAGACGCATCCGGTATATTTCTTGTTCAAGTTAACTATTATACTTATATTTGGGAAAAATCATCCATTTGGGTCCGTATTTAAAAAATAAAGATGGTCTCAAAAAAAACGGAACGTCAACTGATCTTTGACATCACCACAGGATGAAGCTAAAAAGTTTCTTCAAAAATTATTTGTAATTTTTTTCTAATTGATTAATTAAAATCTTGATACTTGAGGTACTTAATTGATTTATATCATTAGCTTTTGTTTATGTCTATATCCACATTTGCTATTTTTAGAGCATTTTTAATATTGTAGGTATAGAAATTAATTTTCAAGACAATGTTTTTGAACATTAAACAATATAATCATCTTTTTTCTCTCGATTTAATTATTTTTAAATTTTATTATTCTGTCCATTGTTTGACCTTTTTCGTCAGCTGTAATTATGCATCGTCACGCATTTTTTCTTGTGGTTTTTTTATGTGTTTTACACTCGATGATTATCTACGTCAAAATAATATTCACATCGTTTCAGTACACTAACTGACCAAGGCTATTGACATGGCGACGGTTATATATAGAATTAAACGAAAAACACAATGATTTACACTTATGTATGTGTCTAATGAGGACTCCGTATCCAGGAATTACGAAAATACCTCTATGCAGAGGTGACACCTACAAATATTAAAACATTGCATTCTCTAAATAGTATATTAAGAATATATCATGTATATAATCTACAAAATATAATAGTTATTTTTTATACAAGACGATAATGCAATTTTATCGTTTTGTACAAAACAATATTTTTTTCTTTAGCGAGTTACGTTTTAAAAAATATTCAGAAATTATTATTTCAAGGAATTTATTAGGAGTAGAAAAAATATTGTGCTGGGTTGGTGTTGGTTTCTATGTAATTTAACAAATAAATAAAGCTGTCTCTTTAATTGTCAGTTTTGAGTCAATATTTTTTAATTCTCTTTCGTGTCGATTGCTGATTGAATTGGAGCCAGAAATGGCTCAAAACGAAATAAGTAAATTACCAACAGATATTCAGGCTGAGGCGACAAACGCCATATCCAAACTACTTCCATTTAAATCCCGAATAACTTATGAAAAGGAATACAAAAATTTTCAAAAATGGAAGCAATTAAAAAACGTGCGAGAAGAAATAAAGTTTTAACCTATCCTCGCTGTTAAAGTATCATTTAATCTACCCTTGCTGTTAAAGTACTATTTTATCTACTATTTTTGATAGATATAAGGCAATTTTAGCAGTTTTTTTACTACTTCAATATTATGTAAGCCTATACATGCAACGCACTGAATATCTGTGAAAACCCTGTACGTTAAATAATTGCATATTAACCTTTTTACTGATCCATTATTAACTGAATTACAAGCATAATTTTATTGCCATTTTGAAATTGGGTCTGCTAATGAAAATTAGATTGGTATTTCATGGATGCGGCATACTATTCGCTTGAATTATACGGAAGCCCATTATAGTATGGTGCAGCCCTTTGAATAACCTAATTACCATAGGCATATAGCGTAGTTGTTCGATCATAAAGTATATGTCAGATGTATCTAACGTACGGGGTGCATATTTATATAAAAAATAAAGGCTCAGTACTAGGAGCTATTTTTTTCCTTCTTTTTATTAACGACATTGCTAACATAAACATCAGTGGTAAAATGTGTCTTTTTGCGGACGACACTAGCTTCACTTGGAGCAACAAGGACGTCACGGCACTTCATAGTGTTATATCAAATGACTTAATCACCATTAAATCTGAGTCTCAACCTTTCTAAAACTAAAGCTTTGTCGTATAAAAACTCGCTGCAGCCTTTTGTACTTAACAACACCACCATTAACGCCGTAAAATCTGTAAAATTCTTAGGGCTTGTTGTAGACCATTCTCTAAAACGGGATTTGCATATGGACGCTTTGTCGAAAAAATTAAGCTCTGCCTGTTTTGCATTAAGATCTGTTTCTAAGGAGCTTAACTTGTCAGTGGCTAGAACTGTTTATTATGCACTTTTTGAGTCGCACCTCAGATATGCCCTTCCATTCTGGGGTTCGTGTTGTGCGACTCAATTTTACCGTATTTTCAAGCTCCAGAAGAGAGCTGTTCGATATTCACTGGGACTAAACAGCAGAACCCATTGCCAGGACTTTCTTAAAAAATTAAAAATATTAACTCTTCCTTCCTTATTTATATTTGAATCCGTTTGCCTAATACGTAAGCATATATCAGCTTCTCAAGAAAGGCCATCTCACACTTGTCCACTCAGGAACGCGGAGCAAAATCTTTATCTACGTACTCCACGCTCAGAGTTAGTTAAAAGTTCAATATTATACATCTCGAAAAAAAAATGCACAATCACCTGCCATTTGATATCAAATCCATAACATCATTTTCTTCATTTCGCAAAGCATTGAAATTGTATTTACTAGACAAGTAAATGACTTATATTTTGATAATCGAATTTGATCTTGTAAATACTGATCTAATATTTGCTATTACTATATTTACTATAAATTTACTAAATATTTTTGAATCTTATTTTTATTTATTTATTTTTTTATTCTTTGACATTGTAAACATTTATAAATGTTTATTTTTAACAATAAGACTGACAATGTAATTTGTATACTTGTTTTGTATTCTCTTTTGTTTGTTTACTTTACCTTTGTCTACAAATTGTAAAATTTTTTGACAATAAAGGCATTTATTTATTTATTTAAGGCCTTAGTATGATATTGCCGCTGTGTCTATCTTTCCACTATCTGCCTTTCCCTAATTCAAAATTTTACTGCAGTACGGGTCATAAATTTTGTTTGGTTTCGTTGGTAACATAAAATTAGATAAAAACGAAAAGTATAAGAATAAATATATAAAAACAATGACATTGTCAGGTCTCAAAACAATTGGTCTCAAAACAATTGGTCTCAAAAAGGGACAGGGATAGGAGTATTTGGGCCGAAAACTAAATACTCCGAACCAATAGGCACCTACCCCAGTATCCTTCAGGCAGAAATTTGCGCTATCGAAAGATACGTACAATTTATCTTAGATAGGAACTATCGAAAACAGGAAATTGCCATCCTATCCGATAGTCAAGCAGCACTTAACGCGATCAACTCAGTAACCATCAATTCGAAGTTGGTCAAAGAATGCCTATAGAGAAGCTCAAACAAATTAGGCAAAGAAAATAAAGTCCTCCTACTCTGGGTGCCTGCTCACCAAGGGATAGAAGGCAATGAAACAGCAAATGATCTAGCTAGAAAAGGAGCGAACACTCCACTAACTGGACCAGAACCGTTCTGTTTTCCAAACGGGAACCAACTGAAAGCGGAACTCAAGAATCTGGAAGACTCCATCCGTAACTTGGAATGGGTGTCCTCCAACGGTCTAAGACACTCGAAAAAGTTCCTCAGAACTTATGATCGAGAAAAATCAAAGGTTTTCCTTGATTTAAGTAAAAACAATCTTCGGATTGTCACGGGGTTTCTAACAGGACACTGTATCCTCAACGAACACCTCAGTAGGCTGAAACTGAGAAACAACGGCAGATTTTGTGGGGAACAAATGCAGATTTTGTGGGGAAAATGGGGAAACACCAGAACACCTTATCACTGAGTGCACCGAGACGACGACCATTCGTGCCATGAACCTTGGTACGTCTGATGC